AAAAATGAGGAATATAGTAAAAATATTTTGAAGAGATTATCAATAAATAAAATGATGACTGGAAATTATCTAGAATTGATAAAGGAGAAACCAATCCTTAGATGCACACAGCCCAGCAAATATCAAGTTGTAAAATAAAAATAAATTGATTCTTAGAATTGTCAAAGTAAATATCTTCAGAAAACCAACAGAAATATCTTAGATTTAAAAGTAGTAAGAGAGAAAAGGAAGATAACCTGTAAAGGAACAATTAGCCTAACAATTTACTTTTCAACAGTACCAATGGAAGCCAAAAATAATGAAAATATATTCAATGAGCTAAAGGAAAATATCTATCAGCCTAAAATTAGGATTCCCAAAAAAGTGTATATCAAGTTTGATAGAGGAAAAAAAAGCCCCTTAAACTCTTTTATCTCCATTCTTTTATTTCATTTGTTTTAGCTTATAATTTTAGAGGCATTATGGCTATACTTTCATCTCTAAAATAAAACACTAAATATCTCAGTTCAGAATGGAATAGGAGAGTTTAACTGATTCTAAAACAGAGATTCAATAAATGCTCCTATTTGCAGGAGCATTTACAAGAGGTTCCTAGAACCTTTAAATCCTAATCATTCCTGGGTTCTGCAGTATGCATCAGCCTCAATCTTTGGCTTCTGATACTTTTAGGACAGGCTATAGCAGATGTTGGCAAACTTTTTCTTTAAAGAGCCAAATACAGACAGTAAAAATTTTAGGTTTCTGGGTATTACAATCTCTATCTCAACTATTCAGCTTTTCCATTGTAGCTTAAAAGCACATTGATAGACAATATATAAAAGAATGGGTGTGGCGGTGTTCCAATATAATTTATTGACAAAATCAGGTAGCCATCTTAAAGACCAGAGATTTCTGATCTCTAGCTACAGGTTCCTAAGATCTGCAAAGTCAGTTATACATACCTATCTGCTTCCTAGTTTGCAAAATTTTGTTGCTCTCTTTCTCTTTGCCCTTCTCTTGCCCTCTGCCTTTCTAAATCCTCATACTATCAGTTTAATGGGATTTAGAGAGTGAGTAGAGGCAAACTGAAATGCCAACACAATATTATTTTTCAAAGTATGTGTTATTAAAGGAAAACTGCTAGAATTTTGTTGAGGAATGAACTGCAGAGACAGATCAATTTAGAAAGAACAGACATTTTTATTACATTGATTCATCCAATATCATAAAAATGATATATTCTTATATTTATTTTCATCTTGTTCTATCAGTAATGTTTGGTAGCTTTCTTTTCAGAGGTAATTCACACCTTTCCTTTCATGTATCCTTAGTCCACGGTTTATGACAGCCATGAAAGTGCGCTGCTCAGATCTCCTTGAAGAGAACCCACTATGAGGAGCACAGCTGACTGATAGCCCCAGCTGCTGCCTTTTAGATCCATCACTACATTTTTGCCAAGGCTATTCCCAGTCAATGACTGAGGTATTGTACTAGTGCTGGCCCATTTCTGCCTGATGCAGGATTCCTCCAATGTTCAAGTTTTGCTCAGGGATTCCCCAATGGTCTGGCCTAAATTTGTTCAGAATTGTGTTGCTGAGTCTCTTTCTGCTGAATCCATTGTCTCTCTCCCTTCACAGGTGTCAAATTATCATCAGAGTGTGAAGGTTTTTCCTTGCCTATTCCTACTCCTTCCTCTTTTGTCAAAGGTATTTCTCCCAATAAATTTCTTGTACAACTAATCTTGTTTTTGTGTCAGCCTCTGGAAGACCAATCCAACAAATGGTGAGGCTTTTATACTACTATAAATGGTAGCTTTTAATTTCATTTTCCAATTGGTGATCGTTACTATATATTTAAATACTATTGGTTTTTGTATTATTATTTTACTAGCTTGCACATTCAAAATCATGACATCTACAAGAAATTACAATTTTCTTACTTTCTAATCTTTTAACTTCCTTTTTATTTTCCTTACTTTGTTCCACTGATCTATGCTCCCCATTGCAGTACTAAATAAAAACGCTAACAGTTGACACCCTTGTTTTGTTCCTGGCCTCAGGGGGAATAATTCCAATATTTCACTACTAAGTATTAATAAATGTGTTAAAAATATATGTATTGTTAGATTAAGAAAGTTTCCTTCTAATCCTAGATTGCTATATATATATATGTATATATATATATATATATACATATATATATATATTTTTTTAACCTTAAATGACTGTTGAATTTTATGATTTTGGTGCAGACATTGAGAGGATTGTATACAGGTAGACCTCACTTTACAAGATACTGCATTAATGAAACCCTGCATATACCAGAACTATAACCTCACTTTGCACAACTCTATTATATATTATTTTTCTATTACTGAGTAACAAATTGCACAAACTTTGTGGCCAATCTGGGTTCTTTCTTATCTGGAAAAAATCTGTTTCTAAGCTCATTCAAGTAGTTGGTAGAATCCAGTTTCTTGCATAGGACTAAAGTCTCCATTTTTTTGCTGGTTATTGGTGGAGGGTCACTCCTAGCTCATAAAGTCACTCTCATGTCATTTAAATGTGATCCCCTTCACCTTTAAGACAGCAACAGTACATCAAGTCCTTCTTGTGCTTCAACTTTCTCTGATATCCTGTTCCACCATCAGCCAGAGAACACTCTTTGTTTTTAAAGAGGTCATTTGATTAGGTTAGACCCACTCAGATAATCTATCTTAAGGTCAACTGACTAGTAAGGAACCTTAATGACATCTGCAAAATATCATCTGCTGCATAATATAACATGATTGTGGGAGTAACACCAGGGAACAAAGATCATATGGGCCATCTTGAAAGTCTGCCTATAACAAGTTAGATGAGATCAAATGAGATCAAGTCTCAGTTACTTTGGAACCTTGAAAAATGAGGACACATTCATTCAAAATATACACAAATTTTAGTTAACCTGATACTGGGCAAAGTGAGAAACACTGAGGTGTTTTCCCCCACTCATATTCTGTTATGTGACTCGTTTTCTAATGTTAAACTAATTTTTTATTCTTCAAATAAACCTATGTTGGCTATAGGGTATTAACTACTTTATATGTCACTAGATCTAATTTTTTAATATATTTAAAATAATTTTTACATGTGCATATATAAGACAGGCCTGCAATTTTCTTTCTTGTAAGGTCCTTTTCAGGTTTTGCTTTTAATGTTATGCTGACCTCTCAAAACATGAAAAGTATTCTTATTCACTCTTCGGAAATTTTGGTTAAGATGGTATTATATGTTCCTTAGATGTGCAGGATAATTCACCAGCAAAGTCATCTAGACCTGAAGTCTCTTTGTGGGAAAGATTTTAATAATGGATTCAATTTCTTTAATGTATGAAGGACTATTCAGCATTTTTATTTCTTCTGTTAGATTGAAAATTGTGTTTCTTCAAAGAATTTGTCCACTTCACACAAACTGTCAAATTATTTGGCATAAGTTACTCATTGTATTCCCTTTAACTTCTGTGAAGCTGCAGCGATGTTCTTTATCATGGTAATTTGAATTTTTTCCTCTATCTCTTTGTTATCTCTTTGTCTTGCTAGAGCTTTATCAATTTATTACTCTTTGAAAATAACCAATTCTTGGCTTTATTGATTTTTTTAACACCTTTATTGGAGTATAATTGCTTTACAATGGTGTGTTAGTTTCTGCTTTACAACAAAGTGAATCAGCTATACATATACATATATCCCCATATTTCCTCCCTCTTACGTCTCCCTCCCACCCTCCCTATCCCACCCCTCTAGGTGGCCACAAAGCACTGAGCTGATCCCCCTGTGCTATGCAGCTGCTTCCCACTAGCTACCTATTTTACATTTGGTAGTGTATATATGTCCATTTGGCTTTATTGATTTTTATGCACATTTTCTCATGTTCATTGTATGCTTGTTTTATATTTCATCTATTTCTGACACTATTTTTATTATTCCTTTCCTTTTACTCTTTTGGGTATAACTTCTGCTACTTTTCTATCTTCATGAGACAGATGCTTAGATCCTTGATATGCCAAACTTCTTCCTTTTTTATATATAAATTTAGATCTATTAGGAAATAATTATGTCTTTTGCTTTCAAATATGCTGTGGTAGAAACTGCTAACTACCTTCCAATTCAAATCCTCCCTTTTAGCCTTTGTAACAGAAGCCAAATTTCACACAAGTAGCAAAATGGCCAGATAAAAGATCCTATTTCTTAGCATTCCTTGTTGCCAGTGTGCCCATATTACTAAATTCTGGCCAAGGAACTGTTAAGAGGAAATGTTTTATTCCCAATTAGGCTGATTAAAGTTGCTGTTTTAGTGTGGTGATGTGCCCTTTCTGCCATTCAGTACTGCATGAGCCTTCCAGCATGCAACCAGATATAGCAATTGGAACTTTGACAGCCATTCTGAAACACAAGTGAACTTAGGATAGAACACACAAGATAGGAAGATAGAATAAAAAGGACACTTGGGTCCTGATTTTGTGCAGAGTCACACTTGTAAAAAGTACACTTTGTACTTCTTGGACTACGGACTCTTCTAATATAAAAAATAAAACTTTTTCCTAGTTTAAATCATTATTTTAGGAGGTCTCTGTTACACAGAACTGAATCCAGTTATGACTAAAACATACAAATATATTGTTTCTTCTTTTTAAAAAAATATTATCAAATTAAATAAAGCTTTCAGTAGTTTTAATATAATAATGATGACTACAGGCCTCTGTATTTTGCTCCTGGTCTGAATAGGACCACATATTATTTTCCTATTTATATACATATCTGATGGAACTATTTTGGACTACAATATGGTGCACTTTCCTCCTCAGGTTGCCATGGGACATTTGGCTTAGCACTGAAAATTCTTGATAATAGTAAATGGACACCAATTCTACAGCATTACCTTTCAGACACTGAAGAATCCCTTCTTGTTGTTATGAAACACCTGGCTAAGAATGTAGTCATGCTGAATTGTGGGCTTATAAAGCACATGACTATCAAGAACAAGTATATGGGGCTTCCTTGGTGGTTGAGAGTCCACCTGCCGATGCAGGGGACGCGGGTTCGTGCCCCGGTCCGGGAGGATCCCACATGCCGTGGAGCGGCTAGGCCCGTGAGCCATGGCCACTGGGCCTGCGCATCCGGAGCCTGTGCTCCGCAATGGGAGAGGCCACAATAGTGAGAGGCCCGCATACCCCAAAAAAAAAAAAAAAAAAAAAAAAGAACAAGTATATGATGTCTAAGCATGCTAAGATCAGCTCCCTAGCACAGCTGGATTCTGCACTAGTTCAAGATTTAGCCAAGGCTGCGGCAAAGGTGTAATTTGTAAACTTTGAAATGCTGTAATATCTGCAAATAAAATTGGCACCATGTGCCATCTGTACATATAAAAAAAATATGTTGGATGTTATACATAGGTGATCTCTGCTAAAACCCAGTTTATTACAACACTAGCATGCAGACAATTCCTATACTATATGTCAAAAGAAATTTATAACCATACCATTCAGACAATCATAATAGTTAGATATTATCCTTTAAAAACAAGCTGAAACCTGTCTTTCTGAAAGTCCCATCCTTATTCTAGATCCTTTTATCTATTCTATTTACTATTTGTATATAGCATATATATACTAACAGTATACTACACTAGTATATATTATACATATACTATTTTATAGTCAGTATCATACACTATTCAGCTATTTTGAAATATCCTTAAATAACTTTTGATACGTAAATATCCAAGTACCTCTAACCATTCTTTCTTGTAATTGTAGGATATTTGATTTCTGCAACCCTCTTATATTTTTAAAAAATAAATCCAGCTAATACATATCATCTAAAATATGGAAGTCACAGAAATTTAGCTTATTAGAAATACCTGGTGAATGATGCTGGTCAACCAGGTTCATGTTTTATAAGGGCACTCTGAAATAATAATCATGGCAGTCACATATTTTTTAAATCTACCCATATTCCCATGTAAAAACAGATATAACAACTAGATAGTAAAAATTTTTCATTACCTATAACAACATTATGTGAGAAGATATCCCCAGGAAATCTAATATTTATAGGAATACAGAAAAACCACTGACATCCATCAGACCACTGTGATATTAGCAATTATGCAGTAGGAAACAAATGAAATCAATGCATGTGATGGGTAGAAATAAAACAAAACATCTAAAGACACTTCCTGGAAAGCTTGGAGAGACAATTTAAGAACAGAGCTATTTTTAGTTTTTTAAGGAACCTTCATATTGTTCTCCATAGTTGCTGTCCAATTTACATTCCCACCAATAGTGTTTGAGGGTTTCCTTTTCTCCACACCCTCTCCAGCATTTATTGTTTGTAGATTTTTTTTGATGATGGCCAAAATCAAGTATACTTCAAGAAAAATTTTTTAAAAACAACAGAAGCTAAATCCTAGTGGGGTTTTGCATATTCTAATAGTGTGTGAATACAAGGGTTCAGTGGTAAGATCTGAAGGTCCTAGAGAATTCTGGGCCTATAAACCCACAAAACTAATTAGCCAGTGCTTTTCTCTAGGTTAAAGCCCCAAACTGAGAAGAAACTCCTGAAGATAGAATCAAAATTGAGCAGCACAGAAACAATGGAGAAAAATAGAGAGGAAAAAAAAAAGTCTGAATTAAAAAGGGAGTGCTGGGGCTTCCCTGGTGGCGCAGTGCTTGAGGGTCCGCCTGCCGATGCAGGAGGCGCGGGTTCGTGCCCCGTTTCGGGAGGATCCCGCATGCCGCGGAGCGGCTGGGCCCGTGAGCCATGGCCGCTGGGCCTGCGCGTCCGGAGCCTGTGCTCCGCAAGTGGGAGAGGCCGCAACAGTGAGTAACGCAAGGGAAAAAAAAAAAAAAAGGGAGTGCTGGGGACCAGAGAAAGAGAATTCAGAAAGTAAGCCATGATACTTTCAGAAACTACACACACACACACACACACACACACACACACACACAAACCAAACAAGAACAGAATAAAGAACTTTAGAACCTGAAAAAAAGCTTCTTAAAGTTGATTAAAAACTAATTTCTCATAAAATTGGCAATACAATAGGATCACTATCTAAAGCCATAAAGATTTATTATACAGTTATTATAAAGCAAAAAGACAACAAGAAGCAAAGTAACATCACTATAGACAATAAAAGCAAGCCAGACACTGCAGCCTGCAAAAAAGATAAAACTATAACCTATTATTTCAAAGTAAACTTAAGTCCAGTTCTGCATATTAGGAGCTTGGAAACTGTCATTCTGTCCTAACAACAACTAAAAAGCTGAATAGATTGAAAAACCAATGACTTTTCTTGGATCTCTAAGACAGAGGAGAACACAGGGCGCACTGTTGCCTTAAAGATTTGAGAGACAGGTGAATATAAATCATCACAGATTACCTGAGCAAACACTCATAAGAGGAAACTGCCACCAAAACCAGTGACAAGGTAGGAAAATCTGAACTGTCATTGCCAAATTGCTGGAGGCTCAGTGTGCACAACACTGAGAGTTTAAAACTCCAGGGGTACTTAGTCATAAGGAGACTACCACAGTACTGTGAGATTTACCTCCAGGAGTTCCACCAGATTCCCACAGTAAACATCAGAGAAAAATCTCCTTGTTCTTCCAAAAGTGGGAGGGGAAAATGAAACAATTTGAAATATATCAGAGCACTCTGTTCTTTTTAAACAAGGCCTGCCCTCAGGTGAATGTAATTAACTACAGCCTAACCTACTGGGGTATTATCAGAGCCTAACTGACCTGGGAGAAGGGAAAACACAACTGCAACTGGCCCAAGCCTTCCACATGAGAGAAAGGAAATAGAGTTGAACCTTGAACAACATGGGGGTTAGAAGCATCAACCTCTCACACAGTCAAAAATCCACATATAACTTTATAAAGTCAACCCTCCATATCCACAGTTCCACATCTACAGATTCAACGAACATTAGATCATGTAGTACAGGAGTATGTATTTATTGAAAGAAATCTGTGTATAAGTGGACCCATGCAGTTCAAACCCATGTTGTTCAAGGGTCAGCTGTACTAAACTCCAGCTCACTCTAGCAATCCAGTCACACCAAAGGTGGGAGAAAAAAAATGAGAAGCTCTTGTCAGTTTATAGTTCACATTCACAGACTCACTAAAAGTCTAAAACTTAATCATAGGAGTATAGAATGCTACCCCTCCCCACACCTCAGCATCAATAACCAAGACCTATTTTCAACAGTTTCTTTTACCTGGTACATAATGTTGAGCTATCAGAAAAAAAATGACAAGGCATACCAAAAGGGAAAAAAAAGCACAATTTAAAGAAACTGAACAATGATCAGAAACACATGGCAGGGAAGTTGGAATTATCAGACCAGAACTTTTAAAACAATTATGAATAATATGCTAAAAGCTCTAATGGATAAACCACACAGCTTACAAGAATAGATGGGCAATATAAACAGAGAGAGAAAAAAACTAAGATAGAATCAAAAAGAAATGCTAGAGATCAAAACACTACAACAGAAATGAATATGTCTACAATGGGCTTATTACTACATTGGATATGGCTAAGGAAAAACATCAGAATACTTGAAAACAAAAAAGCAAAGAGAACAAAGACAAAAAAAGCAGGATAGGATATGCAAGGGCTATGGAACTATAAAGGTGCAACATACCTGTGATGGAAATACCAGAAGGAGAAGAGATAAATGAAAAGAAGAAATATTTGAAACTATAATGATGGAGAATTTCTCCAAATTAAAGCCAGACAACAAACCACAGATTCAGGAAGATCAGAGGTTACAAAGCAGGAAAAATGACGAAACCTTACATCATTTTCAAACTAAAGCATATCAGAAAGAAGTCAAGGGAGAAAAATCTTACCTATAGAGGAATAAAGATAAGAAGTATATATGACTTCTTCACAGACATCATGCAAGCAAGAAGAAAATGAGGTGACATGTTTACACTATTGAGAGAAAAAATCTGCTAACCTACAATTCTATTCCCAATGAAATTATCTTTCAAAGTGAAAAATAAATAAAGACAAAAACCTAGGGAATTTTTTGCCAGTACTGCTGTATAAGAAATGTTAAAAGAAGTTCTTTAGAGAGAAAAAAAAAAATAAGTGATTATCTTGCATTTACAAAGAGTAAGGAGGAGAATCAAAGAAGGAATAAGTGAAGTTAAAATAAAACTTTATTTTTCTTATACTTAAGAGGTAACAGTTTGTACAAAACAATAGCATTAATATATTCAATTATGTATATATATAATATATACACATCTACATACAACATACATACATATAAATGCTTATGTATGTATCAGTGAAATAACTGAAGTCAGTGATACAAGGGACAGGAAGGGGGAATTAGGATTGTTTTGTTATTATATGATACTAATACTACCTGTGAAATTGTATAGTGTTTGAAACTGGGCTTAGATTAGCTATATATGTATACTGCAACCTCTAGGGCAAACACTAAGAAAGTGGTAACCAATATGTGAAGAAAGGAGAGAAAATGGAATCATATAAAATGCTCAGTTAAAACCACAAAAGGAAGAAAAAAGTGGAATGTAAAATAGGAAAACAATGGCAACAAATAAAAAACAGTAATGGATATGACAGATATTAATCAAATTGTATCAATTATCACTATAAAGTTAATAGTCTAAATGCACAAATTTAAAAACAGAGGTTGCAGTGTGTTGCCAAGATGGAGTAGGAAGATCCTAAGCTTACCTCTTCCCACAGGCACACCAAAATTACAACTATTGATAGAGCAATTATCTATAACAACCTAAAGACCAGCAGAAAAGATTTTCTACAACTAAAGATATAAAGAAGCAACCATAATGAGATGGGTAGGAGGGGCGGAGCTGTGATATAATCAAGACCCCCAACCCCAGTAGGTAACTGACAAATAGGAAGATAATAACAACTTAAGAGGTTGTCCCCAAGGAGCAAGGGGTCCAAGCTCCACATTGGACTCCCTAGCCCATGGGTCCTGTA